TGGAGACCAGGCTGGCCTTGAACTCACAGAGATCCACCTGCCTCTGCCACCAGGCCCGGCTTCATTTATTATTTTTATTTTATGTGTATGAGTGTATTGCCTGCATGTATGTGAGTGCATCCATGTCGTGCAATATTACAGAGGTCAGAAGAGGGCATCAGATCCCCTGGAACTGGAGTTACAGACAGTTGTTAGCTGCCATGTGGGTGCTGGGAATCGAACCCAGGTCCTCTGCAAGAGCAGTCAGTGCTCTTAACCACTGAGCCATCTCTCCAGCCCTGAGATACAAACCTTTTATCAGATATAAACTCCATCCTACACATTTACTAGAGTGTGGGTGGTGACCATTTGGTTTATAGATGTTCAGATATTAATAACTGTCACTGGTAACTGACTCAACTCTGATCCAGCCCCTTGAGAGGATACTTGGAGTCAGTCTGACCCCTCCCTCTGGATTGGAAGCCCTCTCCAACATGTCAGGCAGTTGTCTTAATCATTTCTGTAACCCTGTGGTAATGCAGCCTGCTACCTTGGAGAACTGTCCAGGACTGCCATCAACTCTTTCTACATTGAACTGAAATCAACCTCCTGCTGTGGTGACACCTACTTCTGCTCTCTGGGGACACCCAAAACATGTCCTTCTGTAAGCTATCCTTCCAGTATCTTCTCTGTGATTGGAACAGTAGTTTAAATGAACAATGGTAAACTTTGCTTTATTCTACCTTTCATTCTTCATATTTATTATTTATTTATTTGTTTGCTTGTTTATTTATTTATTTATTTATTTATTAATTACAGGGTCTCGCTGTAGCCCCAGATAGCCTGGAACTCACTATGTAGACCAGGCTGACCTTGAACTCACAGAGATCCTCTGCCTCTGTCTCCCCAGTGCTGGGACTAAAGTGGTGCACCACCATGCCTGGCTTTTTAAATTTATTTTTAGACAGGGTCTTACTATGTAGCCCAGACAGGCTCCTCTACCTCCAAAATGTTAAGACTGTAGGCTTACATCACCACACCTGGCTCTTAGTCTACCTTTTAATTTTTTTAAAATTTGATTTTTATTTTATGTGTATGAGTGTTATGCCTGCATGCATGTAAGTGTACCGTGTTGTGCAGTGCCCACAGAGGACAGACAAGGGCATCAGATCCCCTGGAACTGAAGTTACAGATGGTTGTTAGCTGCCATGTAGGTGCTGGGATTTGAACCCAGGTCTTCTGCAAGAACAGCCGGTACTCTTAACCCCTGAGTCATATCTCCAGCCCCTATTCTACCTTTTAAAGAGTAAGTAAAAAGCAAGGCATTACCAAATTCATAAAGGCTCTTGTACACCCCTCTTCAATTCCACATTTCTTTTTTCCCCCATATATGTGTGTGTGTGCCCCTGTGGTGGGACTCAACCCAGAGCCTTGCACATACTAAGCATATGCTCTACTGCTGAGCCTCACCCCAAGTCCCTGTTTATGTACTTCTTTGGACTGTAGGATCCCAATGCAGTATAGACCCTGGTGGTGGAATCCTGTATAGAAAGAACAGTGATTATTGAAGAAAGTGGCAGTCATAGACTTGCGTTTAAATGTGAGGGACATTTACAATCTGTGCTTTTGAACTGTGTGATTCTGGATAATTTAATCTTCCTAAGCTTGATTTCTTGGTCTGTAAAATGGGAAGAATAAACAGAATAGATGTGTAAATTGTTTTGGGGGTTAGCCAAGATAATCTTCTTAAAGCATTAGTACATAGTACTTAAAGAACCAGTTCCATTCATTTTTCAGGTGGAGCTCATATATTCTGGTTTGTTCAAAGAGATAGTCAACCACAGAGTGACAACCCAATTCCAGAGTCCTTACCATTTTTTGGAGTCCACAGCTGTCTGCCTTGTTTCTTTCTTTTTTTGTTTTTTAGAGACAGGGTCTCCCTGTAGCCCCAGCTGGCCTTGAACTCACTATGTAGACCAGGCTGGCCTGGAACTCAAAGAGATCCACCTGCCTCTGCCTCCACTGCGCACCACCACGCCAGGCTGCCTTGTTTCTACTGGACCTAAAACTCACTGTCAACTATGCGTGGTGGCATAGGCCTGTAATCCCAGCACTTAGGTGGTTGAGGCAGGAGGATCGCTGTGAGTTCGAGGTCAGACAGGTAATAGACGCTTTCTGAAAAAGTCAAACCAAACAACCAACAAAACTAAACTAAAAAAAGCAAGAGCAAAACCCTCTTATTTTGAGTCCCTCAGTGTCCATTACACTATGAAGCCCCCGACGTCAATTACCGAGGACAATGGCAGTGAGTCTGGATTTTTCTAGCATTCACAGGAGGTGAGAGAATGACCTCACTGATTCTCTACAAGTAATTAAAGGTTAAAGGTACTTCTGGATACTGCCCGTACTCTAAGAACCCGCGGCCCCAGTCTTCCTGTCATTTGCATTCCAATGCAGCCACCTCACAGGCCCAGCCCCACCAGACGGCAACTCCAACAGCAGCGTGGACTCAGGCCAGCCAGCAGGCGGTGCTGGGCCAGGTGTCCGGGAGCTGGTCCAGGTGTCCGGGGGCGGGGCCTGGCGCAGCCCTTGGGAAGCAGCTTGGCCAAGGCGCGGTTCCGGTCCTAGGGCGTGGCCTCCTGTAGGCGTGGCCTCCTGCAGGTGCGTCCTGTGGCTCTAGTTTCACTGAAACGGATCCCGCCCTGGGAAGGCGCACTTAGGCTCCCTAGGGCAAAGGAGCGGGTGGCTTTCCTGGGTGCAGCGAGTGGGGCTCTGAGTTTCGAACCGGTGGCGGCGGATTCCCCGCCCGTCGGGCGTCGGGCTGCTCGAGGATGCGAGGTCGGAGCATGGCGCGGCTGCTGGGGGTAGTTATCCTGCTGGCGGCTTCTGTCTCCTGCAATCGCACCTTCCCAGGTGAGAAACTTGCCCTAGAAGAGCTCGTGCCACTGAGGAGCTGCGGTTCCGGGCACTGTGGCCTGGTGGTGGAAGCCGGGCAGCCGCGCGCACCTCCGCTCATCCCTCTGCGTCCAGTCCGCGGGGTAGGAGGGCCGAGGTGCCCCAAGGACTTTCCGCCACTTTCTAGAGACTGTCGCGGTCCTTGCACTTCTAACACCTACCTGTCGGCGTGCGGAAGGGGTGGGAAGGAAGGAGTGCCTGCGTCTATGGGGTACCCGGAGGACTCGGCCTCCCCTCCCCTGCGTTAATTTCTTTGCAAGCACTAAATATTAAAGAGCTTTTCGCCTGTCGCCTGCCTCTGGGGGGGGTCCCGCGGGACCCCTGGATTAGCAAATTGGTGGCCCAAGGCCAGGTGGGGTGCGTGGGAGCCCGCGACCTGGGAGGCTTCTATCTCGTTTTTATCCTCACATCTAGACCCTTTCTTTGGAGTCTAGCCAGCGTCCAAGACCTCTTCCCGGCCACAGCTCCTGACACCCGCGGTAGGTGACCGGGGTATGAAACTCAGGCCATTTGAGAGTCACGTGGTGTGGTGCAAAACTTCTAGGACTTCTACAGACTTGAGATTCCCAGGCCCTCCGTGCTACCCCGAGCGCACGCTGGCGCTCGGCCACCCAAGTCTAGGACCGAGGTTGCCAAGCCCTAGGAAAGAACAGCAAAAGAGCGGTCCGGGGCGGTGCTTCGGTGCAAGCCTGTGCGAATGGTGCAGCTCCGGGTGAGCTGGAACCCGCGTTTGTACGACTGCAAGCAGGCCTCTGCCGGCTTGGGGGCTGTTTACAGGCAGCCTTGGTAAGGCTACTGTGATGCAAAGTGAGGCCCCGCAATTTGGGGGCTGCCGGAGTGGAGCTAAAAAGGTTTTAATTTCCCAGCTAAACTTGCAACTCTCATTAAAAACAAAAAAAACATTTTTCTTTATTCCCTTCTTCATAAAGACATTGTAAAAGAGTGTATAACACGTCACCATTTGTATGTCTGTTAAAGATGGAAACCCCAAATTCGAGGACAAAGATTAGTGTGTGCAAACTAAAAAAAAAGTGGTTGTAGGTAATTCAACACTATGATTCACACAGTTCATATAGGAAACATTCTCTGATTACTTGGCTGGCTCTTGTTTACAAAGTGAGGGGGCTAGGGACAGAGAGATCCCTGGAGTATAGGGCGAACTTCATTTAACAGTTTAAAAAATCAAGTTACTTGTTTTTTGCCCCCCCTTTTCTCCCTGTATAATTAATTATGTTATATAGCCTGGTAATTTTCCCAGAGTTAGTCCAGGAATGAAGACTTTAGATAACTGGAGCTTTCCTCCCAGTCTGAAAGTAGATTGATTTCGGTAGAAAACGGGGCATCCCCCAAGCTTTTCTGCCAGTGACAGGTCTTTGTTCCTCTCTAGTGGTGTTTTCTGTATACGCCTTAGGTTGCTAAAGAGCAGATTGGGCTTGATTTTTCTTCCCCGAAGCCTCGCCTCAAAAGTGCTTCATAGGGGCTGGAGAGATGGCTCAGCGGTTAAGAACACTGGTTCTTGCAGAAGACCTGGGTTCGAATCCCACCACCTACATGGCAGCTAACAATTGTCAGTAACTCCAGTCCAAGGGGATCTGACAGCCGCTGGATTTGCAGGACAGGAGTGCACTTACCTACATGAAGGCAATACAGGCATACTCAAAAAATAAATAAAATATTTTTTAAAAAGTGCTTCATAGAAAGGATCTCAACATAAAATTAATTCATTTTTACAGGTGGGGTATTAAATTGGGGGTGTGAAGTTTAAGTCAGCTTCTCTCAGGCTCAACCACTACTACTACTTACCTCCTCTTCCTCCTTTTCTTCCTCTCTCCTTGTTCTCCTTTTTTTCTCTTTCTTTCTTTCTTTCTTTCTTTCTCTTTCTTTCTTTCTTTCTTTCTTTCTTTCTTTCTTTCTTTCTTTCTTTCTTTCTTTCTTTCTTTCTTTCTTTCTTTCTTTCTTTCTTTCTTTTTCTTTTTCTTTTTGGTTTTTGAGACAGAATCTCCATGTCCCTGTAGCCCTAGCTGGCCTGGAACTCTCAGAAACCCGCCTGCCTCTGCCTCTGGAGTGTTGGGATTAAAGGTGTGGGCCACCACACTCACCTGGCCTCTTTTTTCTTCTTCTTTTCCTCCTCCTCCTCCTTTCCCTGGGTTTGTTTTTTGATTTCTTCTCCTGCTTGGGATCAAATCCCGGGCTTTTCACAAGCTATGCCCACTGCACCACCATTGAGCTACTTCCCTAGTAATACTTATTTTTTGTGTTATCCCTGATATATGTCTATATATAGGCCTGATATATTTCCTGTGACACAGTCAATCTATTTTAGATTTAGAGGCTGGATCTTCTGTTTTTTGTATATTGTCATTTTTTCTTTGAGCTGGACAGTCTCATATCTCACCTGACCAGCCTGGAACTCTGTGAGACCAAGCTGGCCTTGAACTAGCAGCAATTCTGTCTCTGCCTCCTAAGTGCTGATATTATAGGAATGCACCACCACACCAAGTCAGCAATTTTTTTAAATGAAAGTATTATGTGGGGGGTGGGGTAGAGAGATAGCTCAGCAGTTAAGAGCATTGGCTGCTCTTGTAGAGGACCTGGGTTCAATTCCCCTGGCCATAACTCCAGTTCTAGGGGATCTGATGCCTTCTGACCTCTAAGGGCATTGCATGTACCTATACACATGCAGGCAGTACACTCATATACATAAGATAAAAATAAATACAATAGTTTTGGGGAAAATAATATGTAGGGGCTGGAGAGATGACTCAGCCTTAGAGTACTTACTATTGCAGAGGACCTGGGTTTGGTTTCCAGGAACTCGCATGGCAGCTAATAGCTGTCCTCCAGTTCCAGGGGATCTGATGTCCTCTTCTGGCCTCTGTGAGCATTGCATGCATACTTATATACACTTACATACATGCAGGCAAAACATTTACTCCTATACATAAAATTATATTTTTAAGTAATGCGTGGTTACTGTAAAGGAAAAATGAAAAGGGAAATTTAATGAAATTACTCCACCCCTGAGTACCAAAAATAACCAATACTGACATTTTTGTTTTATCTTTTACATATCCATACATAAAATATATTGCAAATACAGAAAACCTTGTATAAATGTGGGATTTTTTTATAGAAGCACTTCAATAACTCATGTAAAACATTTTAAATGACTTTAAAATATGGGAGCATCTATCACATTTTTTTTCATGTATCAGGGTCTGCACCAATTAGTCCTATATATTAAACAAGCACTTTGTAACAATGCTGTCCTCAACCCTATTTTTAACATTATTTTGAGACAGGGTCTCACTAAGATGTACAAACTTGCCTTGGCTCCCCTAGATAGCCTAGGCAAGCCTTGAACTTGGGATTCGCCTGCCTCAGACTCCTGAGTACCTGAGATTATAGTATAGGCTGGCACTGTCAGGCCTAACTTCATCTTTTTAAATTATTGTTTGGTCTCCCACTGGGTTTTCTATGTGCTACTTGGTTAGCAATCAACCTGTTGGGAACATTTTATTGCTGATGAGAATTTTCAGAACCACACTGTATGCTTTGGGGCATGGATCTATTGTATGACTCATTTGCTAATATGGTGTTTTACATGAAGGGGGAGGTGTGAGGTTGAGTGCCCCCACAACTGTAGTCGACTACTACCTTGTGCTTCTGCAGGACTGATAGCACAACTGGACTAAGAAATACCTGTTGGGATTGTCTGGATCATCTTGAACTTCTGCTACCTTGATGGACAGAGAAGGAAAACCTGTAAAATAGCCCTTAAATAAAGATTTATTCACTTAAGAAATAAATAAATTACTGTTTGGTGAATAGATGCATGGGATATTACGGATGTTTCCTAATATCATAGAACTCTGTAATTGCCATGAGGATGAGACTTTAGGTTGATGCTTGATCCCTTTGCTTTCCTTGTCGTTACTAATTAACCTTGACAGCTCATGTCTCATGAAGTCTGTATTTGACTTTCTTATGTTTTTTTTTTTTTTTTTAATCTGGGCAAGTGTTGAGGAAAACAGTTCATCCTAAAAAACACTTATGAATATGAAGTTTACTGAAAGTGTACCTAGGGAGGGGTACCCAGTAACTGAAAGCTTCTCCTTCAGCCTCTACGCCTTTGCTCCTAAGGGTTGGTAGCAAAAGAACTTTGGGGGCGCTAAGGAAAGAGTTGGCATAAAACACTTGATCTCTGCTCAGTTGGTAGGGACACTGTGACTACTGGCAACTAAAGTTTTTTTTTTTTTTTTTTTTTTTTGGTCTTTTTGAGACAGGGTCTCCCTGTTGCCCCAGCTGACCTAGAACTCTGTGTAGACCAGGCTGGCCTTAAACTCAGAGATCCGCCTGCCTCTGCCTCCCCAGTGCTGGGACTAAAGTCATACACCACCATGCCTGGCTCCTGGCTCACATTTAACTTTTGATACATTTTCCCAAATTACTTGTCAAAAAGATTATACCAGTTTTCACTCTCGGGGGGCAAAATTCTAAGCTAGAGAGGTGAAAAGAGGAAAGTTCTTCCTTCCCTGGCCATTCTACTTCAAGGAGACTGCCATTTTTTTGTACTTTGCGGAGGGTGTTCTAGGCTTAAGACTTTGCAAATAAATGTACATTATAGTTTCATTATACAGATGAGGGCATACTGTTTTATGTGTTTCTTGTTTCACTTGACAGCATATTAATGGCCATCTTTTCAACTCAATATTTACAGAGTAGGGGATGTGTCCTAGTTTGTTCTTCATTGCTGTGACAAAATACTCTGACCAATACCAACTTGGGGAAAAAAAGGGTTTATTTGTCTTACATCTCCCAGGTTGCAGTTCATCAGGGACCCCAAGGTAGGAACTCAGGGCAGGAACCTGGAGGCAGGAACTGGAGCACAGGCCATGGAGGAATGCTGCTTACTGGCTTGCTCCCTTGGCCCCTGCTTAGCCTGCTTTCTTATGCAA